GGCTTGATTTTTTATATTCCAACTGTTGTTTTCTTGGAACAGATATCAGCAATGAATTTAGTTCATCCTGAGGAAAGAGCCTCCAATTACATAAGTAAAAGGCAAACACATCACCCCAGTTCTTGCCTCTTTGCCAAAATATGATGAATAAATGTCTCTGCCAAAGTCAAAAACTTGTCTCTTCATCACATTTCTCACATCCAGAAAATCCTCTTTACCACTGAAATTGTTTCCTTATTCTCCAAAACATGCACATGGGATGAAAAAGTCTCCTAGAGAATTCTACCATGCTAGTGATATTACACTCCTACCCAAAACACATTATTGATCCTTGTAACACACTCTTACCAACACCAGCATTTTTTTGACCTGTGATCCACCATTGGGTACCCAAATTTCACTTCTACCCTCATCAGAAGCATGAAACTAGCCCTAAGATGCTCTCATTGGTACTTCTGCAATCTTTCCATCAATCTCAGGGGTCTACATCTAATCTCTCTAATGCTTCTCATGTCCACAGTGGTCACCAAAATTTCTGCACCTCAGTTTCCCTGTCTTAAAGGGAGAGGACAGGGAATGGACTAAGTGAATGAGTCAACCACATCTCCTCCTTGTCCAGTCTCTGCTGTCACTGTTCGGTAGATATGCTAGTTGGGTATTTGCTTGTCTGAAATTCTTTCTAAAGTCTGTGGAGAAAGTTCAGTTTATTCTAATAAGATGAGTTGCTCAATTTTTTTTGTTTTGTTTTTGTTTTTTAAGTGGTTGAATTATAACCTTATATTTGCCCTTTGAGGTCTATATCCATGACTACAGTCCTTAAGAGTTTACTTATGACCAGGAATAAATGCAGATCTTAATTGTTGTGGTGTAGTGGGAATTGTTTAAAATTTATTCTTTGACAAAGTCCTCATCTGGGCCTCCGGGTCCCTTCTTACTAGACCTGGAAAAATCAGTGGGCATCGTCATAATTGCAGTTTATGTGAATCCCACACTGGTTCTCTTCATGCCACAACTCTCCAGGCGGTTGAATATGTTCCATGTGTTATTTCTCTAGTCCACATCTAACTCAATTTTGGATGCTGTCCCAAGGTACTATTCTGTTGTATGTAAAATCAATATCTTCAAGGTCCAATAAAGAGAACAAAACCCATGCTAGGTAGTTCAATTGAAGAAATTTAATATAGGGAAATACTGAGTTACAGAAGTGCTGGAAGAGCTAAAAATAAGTGCTTATGAGGCTACTCTGAAAGCAACGACTACAACAAGCTACTGTCGTCCATGGGGCTTGAGGACAGGGAAGGGATGTTATCAGTGTAGGGACCAGGGATACACTGTAGGAGCTAGAACATTGGAGAACCCAAAAGGAGCTGGTAGCAGGGCAGGGGTTGCCTGGTGAGAGTTGGAACACAAAGGTTGGGGCTTCCAGGCAGGAGCTAGAACCACAAAGAGGCACAGCCACTGCTTGGTCTTCTCCCAAAGCAGAGAGGAAAGAAATACCCTGGGTTCTACTCCTCCCAAACTCCCATCTCAGGCCATTGGCTGACCCTAACCAGAAGGAAACAGGTAAGGGGGGTCTGGGAAATGCAAGGTAGCCACTTGGGATTCAAAGCAGAAAAGGGCAGGGAACAGATCTACGAGAAAACAGGCAAATAACCTGTACAAGAATGTGAAAAGGAAATACCAATAACCAATACACAGAGAAAAATATGTCCAACCTCATTAGCAATCAGGGTAATGCAATTTTAAACCACTAGGAGATACCACTTTACACCCCACCAAAAATTTTACAATGCCAATGTTGATGAAGATGTTTAGCAATGGGAATGCTTACATACACCAATGGGTGTGTAAATCAGAAAGCACATTGGCATTGTTCAGTAATTGTAATGCTACACATACCCTATGCTCCAGGAATTCCACTTCTAGGACCATATCCTCAGGAAACTCTAGCAATGCGCACCAAGAGACAGGTACAAAAACTTCACAGGAGCATTAAGAGCAGCAAGCTACCCAAATGAAAACTACCCAGCGGGAAACTACTCAAACATCCCCCAACAAGAGAATGCATAAAGTGTCCTTTATTCTTATAATGAAATGTTACATAAAAATGAATGTACTACAACTACACACACCAACACAGAAGAATGTCACAGACAGAATTGAGAGCAAAAAGACAAGTGACAAAAAAACCCAACCCTTGAAATGATTCATTTACATAAAATTCAAAAATATGTAAAATTATAGGTACTCTTTAAGGAATGAATGATACATGGGAAAACTGTAAAGAAAGAGTGATGAGTAATTCAGAGGAGAGGTTACCTCGATGTGGGAGTAAGGTGAATATGATCACAAAGGCCAACAAGCATAGCTGTTCTTTTTTTGGGTATGATTTATGTTATAATTAAAAAATATGACTTCAGAGGTTCTAAAAGCTCCTTTACCCCTCCTCCCTAATTGTGATTGGGAATAAAATATTACTAACACTGTCACACACTCATTCAAGTTCTATAGTTAGATTTCCATCATAGTGTCTTCACTTGTGGCTATTAACCTGGTCTAGGTATCAGTCTTCTCTGTGTTCTCTTAGTTTCCACATTTATAAAATGAGGATTATAGGAATACTTACTTTGTAGGATGATTCCTAAACAAGAGAGTACATGGGAAATGCTTAGCACATGGCCTGGCTCCCAGTGGGTGGCAGATGTTTGTAATTTGTTTACACCATTGTCTCAGCTTGTAGCATCCTCATTGCCTCTATCTACTGAATGCTTCTCATCCAAGGACATCCAGTTCAGTGCCTGATAACTGCTGCTCCCACCCAAGCCAATTTTCCCCTCTTTTAAATGTCTAGACCTTCCATTGCCTACATCATTTATGAGGCATTACTATATATTTACTTATTCATTCATGTAGCAAATCATGTGCCAGGTATTAGGGACACAGAAGTGAATGAAGCAGGCATAGTCACTGTCTTCATGGAGCCTGCAGCCTGGTGAGGGAGATACACATTAAACAAATGAGCAAGCACAGAATGATCTACTCCAGCTGTGCTAAGTGCTATCAGGAAGAAGTGTGGAAAGCCTGGAGAACCTGTTATAAAGGAAGCTCACCTAGACCATAGAGTAAAAAAGAAACAAAAAAAAAGATTTCTTTGAGAAAGTAACATCCAAGGTGAGACCTGAAGGACACATTGCTTTTTATTGTCACCATTGACAATATTTACTGAGAATCTATAACCTAGGTGAAATAATCAGCGCACGTCCCTGAAGAAAAAAATCGTGGCGAGAGGTAATACATGTTAAATGCCAAGTGAACGGAATGCACACTATTATGTAGATTTTTGGAAGAGGGTTAACCCCTTGATAGAAGTGTTTTACATAAAATGTCAGATCTAAACAGAAACTTCAAGAAAGGTTGGAACTAAGTACAGGGAAAATGGCATTCTGGATATGCATATATGGGCAGAGATAAGAAAAGGCAAGATAGGTTCAGACAGGTAGCTTGAACCAAAGTGACATATGAAGGCAGTAAAGAGAAAGGGTCAGATTAGGCCAGGCACAGTGGTTCACAACTGTAATCCCAGCACTCTGGGAGGCTGAGGCGGGCGAATCACCTGAGGTAACGAGTTCAAGACCAGCCTGACCAACATGGACAAACCCCGTCTCTACCAAAAATACAAAATTAATCTGGCCGTGGTGGCACATGCCCATAATCCCAGCTACTTGGGAGGCTGAGGCAGGAGAATCACTTGAACCCAGGAGGTGGAGGTTGCGGTGAGCTGAGATTGCGCCATTGCACTCCAGCCCGGGCAACAAGAGTGAAACTCCGTCTCAAAAAAAGAGAAAGGTTCAGATTATAGAGGTACTTGCTTTTTGTCTTAGAGTTTTCTTTTTGTACCGTGGGCTTCTCTGGGATTCTCATGAAAGCCTTGTACCCTTCTTCCTCCTCCTCAAAAAACAGTGCATTTATAAAGCTGCATAAAATTTCAGGGTTTCATAATTCCCCTTAAGTAGCATTTAGGAACTCCTGCTATATGCAAATAGCACTGAAAGGATTTGAGTAGAAAAGTGGCATGTTCCAAACAGTGTTTAGAAGGATTCATTTGCCAGAGAGGATAATAACTGTTGGCAGTAAGGTCAATTGAGAAATTATTGCAATATAATGCAAGTAGGAGCTCATACAGCCCTAGGCTAAGGTGGCGGCCCTAGGAATCCATTCCTTGATTAAACTAACATTTATTGAGAGCTTACTTTGGGACAGGCCCTGTGCCCAGTGTTGAGGATGTGATAATGAATACGGCAAGACCACTGCCCTCAAGGATCTCCAAGCTGGGCAGGATCAGAAAGAAAGGCAGGCAGCCACAGAGGCAGAGGGGATCAGATCAGTGGCAGGTTCTCCTACTCAGAAATTCCCACCATGTGTTCCTTAGAACAAAGTCAAGGCCCTTCACAAAACAGACACAACTCACCTTTCTGCTGTCATTTCCACTGGGGCCCCCACCACAACCACTTTGATCTCTCTCGAAGGCACACACCCTGCAGGGCAGCTACCCTGGACTCTTGACTGTCTTCTGACTCTGCTTGCGTTTTCTAGTCTCTGCCCTGTCACTAGTTTTCTCCCACCAGCTGTGCCTGCTGAAATTCCTACCCATTCTTTAAGACCCAGCTAAGATGTTGCCTTCCTTCAAACTTTGTCAGAGTCTCCCCATTCATTCTGCCCTGTGTCACTGCGTGTGCCTGTATTAGGGTTCTCTAGAGGGACAGGACTAATAGGATACATGTATATATGAAAGGGAGTTTATTAAGGAGTATTGACTCATACGATCACAAGGTGAAGTCCCACAATAGGCTGTCTGCAAGCTGAGGAACAAAGAAGCCAGTCAGAGTCCCACAACCTCAGAAGTAGGGAAGCCAGCAGTACAGCCTTCAGTCTGTGGCCGAAGGCCAGCGGTCCCCTGATAAACCACTTTTATAGGTCTAAGAGTCCAAAAGCTGAAGAACCTGGAGTCCGATGTTCAAGGGTAGGAAGCATCTAGATGAAGATGAGGAGATGAAGGACAGGAGACTCAGCCAGTCAAGTGCTTCCAGCTTCTGCCTGCTTTTATTCTAGCCATGCTGTCAGCCGATTAGATGGTGCCCACCCAGATTGAGGGCCAGTCTGCCTCTCCCAGACCGCTGTTAATCTCCTTGGCAACACCCTCACAGACACACCCAGGAACAATACTTTGCATTCCTTCATTCCAATCAAGCTGACAATATTATCCATCACAGTGCCCCAGTCTCCCCAGTATTAAAGGGAGGGCAGAGATGTCTTTTTGTCCTCCTGTTCCATGGAGTGCCCAGATCCTGGGATGGTAGGTGCTCACTATATCTACGGAACTGAAAGGCCAGACCCTGGGGAGAGGACAGAGCTAAGGCAGGTTTGGGAGCCGTCTGTGAAGCCTCAGCAGTGGAAGTCAGGAAGAGCAACTAGGTCTCTGCGTCCTCATGCAACAAGGATAGAGGCCACCTCAAGTACACATTATGTGTTCAGCAAAGACGGATTTAAAAGTATAAAACATTCACTTTTGAGCAACTTAGGTCATTAATAATTTGGTCTCTTTTTAATGATAGCAGTGTCCACAGGAAGAGAGTGGGACATGAAATTTCTGGTTCTGCGTGCAGACTTCTACATTTCTACCAGCTAATTATTATTATCATTAAATTATTACGCAAAGAGCTTACTCGCAAAGCTCAAATTGTTATAAAGCGTAAGTCATCCTTGGAAGTGTTGTTTGGTCACTCTAGTAATTCTTGCTTTTAATTCTTTAACAACTATGGGTAGAACTCCAGTATACCATTTGCACTATCAAAATACCCAAGACGTTGCCAAGGACGACTGAATTCTTAGGTTTGGCCGCAGTCACCCACGCGGCAGGTGCTCACTTCCTTCTCCGGGGCAAGAGACACCGTGGGTCTCTTTCCAGTCCAGGCTGGAATGGAGAAGTCGTACCTGACCACAGTGAGCTAGGCAGAGCCCAAGGTTCTAAACTGACAGAACCCACCCACCAGGGCGGTGCCAAGTCCCAGTAAGGGCCGCATCTCCCCAGCTTGGCTGATGAAGAGGCGGGGACCAAACCGTCCAGTGCAGGAGCCTGTGCGGTGCCTGGCTTTCCCACCGACCCGCACGTCCCTCTTCCTCGCGGGTCCCACCCCACGCAGGTATCTAGCGCCCCGCCCTGTTCATTTCCCACACCCGGCCCGCTACGCCCCGGGGCCGAGGAGACGCACGTCTGATTGGTCGGGGTCGGCGGGGGCGGGGCCGGGGCGCCCCGAGAGGCCTGATATAGGAGCGGGCGGGGCAGGCCGAGCTCAGCAGGAGGGGCCGGTGCCGCGTGCGCCCGAGGACCCGGCCGGAAAGCTTGCGCCTGCTCAGGATGAGGACAGACTGGGCGACCCCTCGCCGCCCGGCGGGGCTTCTCATGCTACTCCTCTGGTGCTTCGAGCTCGCGGAACCCTCTGGCCGCGCAGGTAACCGCGGGCGCCTCCGCCCCGCAGTCCACTGGGTGCCTCGACGCCGCAGCTCTGCCGCCTTCCAGCCAGGAGCAGGGCTGCGCCCCCGGCGCAGGTCACGGCTGCTTTGCTGTTGGGGGTCTCTGGAGCCGGACGAGTGAGCCGCAGGGGAGGTCTGGCGGAGTAGGCGCCCCAGTGCCCTCGGGAGCTCGGAGGAGGGCGCGGTGGATGTGGGAGGACAGGGCCCTTCTGGTGCAGAGGGGACGCGGTCCACCGTAGAGTAGGCTCACTGAGGCTTTTTTGACTAGGTGCCCTGCTCCGTCGTCTGTCTTATAAAATGTTGCTGGAGTATGGGGTTCCCCATCTGCCCTCTGCGTCCTGTCCCGCCCGTTCTCGCTTTTCCTTCGCCCCTTGGTCACCTTGGCCACAGGGCCAAGAGGAGCCTCCACCCACAGTGCTAAGGATTCCCAACGATTCCCGGATTTCACTGCGCCTACGGTGCGCATCAGAAAGGCAGTCAGGTTAAGTAAACCATCTCCTCTGAAAGTGACCAAGACCAAGAGTCAGCTATGATGCCGCCACCCACCGTCTAGAGCAGCAAACCTTTCTTCTCTTTGTTTTATCAGTTCCAAACGACCCCGCTCCCCCAAGGCTGACAGCCCCACGCTGAAGGGCAGGTCGCCTGGCTGGGGACCTGCTGCCTCTCAATGGGGAAGCAGGACCAGTTCACTGATGTTCAGGGTAGTGCCAGCGCCACCCCACCACACCCCTTGGCAGCAACCGGTTGCTTTTACTTTCTCTTTTTGCCTAGGCGAGAGGTGTGCAGAGGACTTTGTTTCTTGGTTGGGCCGCATCATAGGCACTCAATGGGCCACCCGCCACCGGCCACTTCTGTTATCGTGCCTGTATGAGGAAGGAAAAGACTGTCCAGGCAGTTTGAAAAACACTAAATTGCTGGTGGCTCTTATTTTCTTTGCAGCTAAGCTAAGTTACCATCTGGTTTAGACTTCGTTCGGAGAGTGATGGGAAGAGATTTCTCAGAGTGTGAGTGCCATCATCCTATCTACAGCAAGGACCTGTAAATGAACCCTGCTCTGAGTCACACTTCTCTATTCTCCTTTGACCCTGTGTGCTATTAACTACCAAAGGAATCATTTAAAATAAGATCCTTTATTGCCTTGAGAATTTATCTGCCTGCCCCACAATCCAAGGTGGAAAAGTTCACTGCAACAACTAACTACAGTGAAAATGCACTAACTTTTCAATCACTAACCTCTTGGTTCCCATCTACATCTGCTTCAGTCCTGTTTTTATCTCCTTCACAAATTTCAAGGTTTCCTTAATTCTTGCAATCTCTGCAATCACTGCCCTTTATCACTGACCCAAAGCAAAAAGCACCAGGTTTAACTCTATTCGCCCTGTGCTAGGTCTCCACAGGTTTTGTTATCCTGTATCCTTCCTTACTCCTAGCAGCTACTCTGATCGATGTTCTCTCAACCTCAGAGCAGACTTGTGGCCTTGTTTGGGGAAGCACTGGAATTTTGAACCCCCAGCCATTTGGGTCAATTGTTTGGCAAGAGTGTCCGCTTCATGATGCTGGTGATGGCATGCACCTCGTCACGTGCATGGCTAGGCTTGTGCAGGTGGCCTCTATCACCCAAACACTGAAGGAGCACCTCTGTGTCCTTGGGGAGATGCCAGGTGCTTAGTTTACATTTTTGCTGCTTGGAGAGCTAACAGCTTGAAGTAAACCAATCCGTCAGGGACTCCTGAGGTTTTCACCAACCAACACCACCCAATCATGCGTGAAGACTTTCTGACTCCCTGGACATTGCCATGGACTCAGCTGTCATTTCAGGACCTGCTTTTGAACTAACAAACCTAGACTTCTGATTCTCTCTTGCTGCGCTTACCTGTACATTCTGAACACGTGGTAGAGACTCTACAAAATGCTTAATATGTGATCTATGGATGTTCCCCTGAAATTATAAATGCTGCCATCTTCATCCTTCTTGTTTTCCCAAGCTATTTCCCTATCCATTTGTCTATGGCTATATATGTCAATATCCAGCTCCTCTTTGGAATGCGTGAAGCTATTTGGTCTAGAGTTTATAAGGCAGGAATTATTTAGTGATCAGACAATAAGAAAACACTGAGAGAGATGATTTTCCTTTGATGGATGTAAAAATACTAAAAATTTATTTTCAATTTTTGGTAACGCTACTTAGCCATTTTCTCTCAAACACTGGAGAATTTATATCAAATGAAGCATATACAAATGTATCTAGAGGGTAATGAGGCTTCTTTTCATCAAATTCTGCCTTTTAGATTTGCCCCAATGTTGTATTTGGAGGTAAATACTAAAACTCCATTGAGGACTGGTATAAAGTTGTAAAATGAACAAAATCTAATAGGAAGCTATCTGTAAAGAATCTATTTTATAAAATAAGTTTTATAAAATAAAATCTACTCTGTAATTACCTTTTCAAAGTATAATATATTTCTAAAATAGCTTGTATGCCCTTCTATACCAAATTTTCTAAATAAGGGATTATGTTCACTCTTTCTCAGTCCTCCTTCCGGCTCTTCAACCTACTATCCCAATAAGGGTCGTAAGACTGAGGCAGTTTGAACAGCTCCTGCTAAAGGTAAAGAAAGATACAGGGAAGCATCATGAAAGGATAGGACTCTCCCTATCTAATATATGCATATACGTACCTTATATATGGAGGCTAATAAGTTTCCTTTAAGTATATGAATAATTAAGATCTGTACTAAGTGACCACTATAAGTGTCAAACATTGAAATTGCATACTTGGTTCAAACAAGGGGTTAGTCTGAGAAGAACGTCTATATTCAGAGATGTAGCAGTTTGTTAGGAAGTTTGGCAGCTCCACTTTAACAGAGCTACTCCACACCTCTCCTGCAGTGTTTTAGTATTTCAATTTAGGACTCCTAACTCCTGCTTTTTCCACTGTACAAAGAAATGTAGCTAATCCATTGGATTCTACAAAAACTTTGAAAAATGCAGAATTGCAAACTGCAAAGGAAGGCAAAGCTGCTGCTTCCCCAGTTCACCTGTTTGGGATCGAACGCACAAAGCAGAATGCCCGGGAAAGACAGCAGCAAGACTACAGGGCAGGAGAGGGGATGTTTCCAACAAGGGTGATGGGCACATCTCCTGCAGGAGCAGACTTCTTTTTTCTTCTGTAATTTTTGATACTTTGGAATGCAAGATTTATTTTGGAGAGGCAAGAGAGAACAGTTTAGAAAAGCTGTAGATCAGAGGTCTGAGTAGCTATTGAATTGTGGGAGAAGGCCATGAGAGAAAGTGTAAGTAGTAATCTTATAGTACATTTTCTTTTGTTGACTGTCCTCCCAGCCTGTGTCCATCAAGCAGAAAGTGGCAGAGGACTGTCAAAGGAGAAACTGTGAGGGATGTGGCCGGGCACAGTAGCTCATGCCTGTAATCCCAGCACTTTGGGAGGCCGAGGTGGGTGGATCACCTGAGGTCAGGAGTTCGAGACCAGCTTGGCCAACATGGTAAAACCCTATTTCTACTAAAAATACAAAAATTACCCGGGTGTGATGGCAGGCACCTGTAATCTCAGCTACTCGGGAGGCTGGGGCACAAGAATCACTTGAACCTGGGAGGCGGAGGTTGCAGTGGGCTGAGATTGTGCCACTGCACTCCAGCCTGGGCAACAGACCAAGACTCCATCTCAAAAAAAAAAAAAAAAAAGTGTGAGGGAGGAAAGCTGCTATGGCAAACATCAAACATCCTTAGCTGCAACCCTGTGGAATACTTTTAAAATTCAGATTTAAAATAACTTTAAGCTTTAAAGGATTTTTGTTGCTGTTCTTGTTGTTTCCCTTGTTGTTGCTTCTGTTATTGAAAACAAAACAAAAAAAAAAATCCTTCCAAAGTTCAAGCTGCAGTCAGACTTAATTTTATAGTTATTATTTACATGGTAAAAATCCCCTCAAGTCACCAGTCCCTGGTATGGGAATTTTTAACTCTGAAAGCCTTTGAATTATTACTAGGAAAAGCATCTGGTGTTAGTGAAACCAGTGACTGTGACGCTGGTATCAAAATGAAAGTGTCTTTGGGGAACCAAAATTTTATAGGTCTTTCTGCTGAACTCTGGTTCATTGACAGTGATTGCTTAAGCTTGTCTAAAATATTTCAGCTTTACTCTTATCAACATGATGATCTCTGCTATAATTGTTTAAAATTTTCCTTTGTAAAAGAACTAACCAAATTATCCGATTATAGTTTGTTGTAACAGATGTGAATCTTACTCCACAAATTCAGGTGTGCAAGAAACAATGCATTACTTTATTTTCAGAAAACCAAATTAAATTTGGTGCTGAGCTCCCATTCCACCAGGTTGCCAGAACTTCAATAATTGTCCTTATTGGGGTCTTTCCCAGCTCATGCAGAGTGCCAGGGGAACATTCAGGGAAGATTCTTCTTTAGTCATTGGATCCCGCTGGTTACCTCTGGGTTTCCCCTTGTCCAAACCCACAGGATCTTGAATCTGGTGGCTCAAGACTCATCAGCCATCACTCTGGTAGTTCCTGGAGTTTGGGGTTCAGCCTTCTTAGGTGATCCACACAGTCAATCCCCCAGGCTTTCCCCAGGTCCTGTCACCTTCCTGAGGGTGCCACAATGCAGCTGGCCACAGGTTCCCCTACCCTCAGAACCCAGATCTCTATTTCTTCTTGTTTCGGTACCCCCATTGTTCTGCTGCTCCCCCAGAAGTTTCCCCGTTTCCTCTGACATACCTCAATGAATTTAGTCCTCCAAAAAAATATCTAGGGGGAAGTGGTCTTTAAGAAATTTGTCCTTAAATTTTCCTTTTTAGTGGCCACACTAACTTGCCCTAAGGCAGAGGACCACAGAGGCCTCACTATGTACTTAGATCTGAAGAAAGGAACATATATATAGTGAACATGCTGTGTTAAGCATCGACTTTTCATGTAATAATTTACCCTGTCATAGTAGCTAACATGTAAGCAGGCAGAATTATGGTCCCAACTAGACTTTTCATTGAGATGAAAACTAAAGAGCTTCTTTTATCTCATTAAATGAGAAGGGAAATATCTTTCATGAAATAGCAACAACAAATATACATGCTGCTCTACATGCTTTACATGGATTAGCTCCTTTCATGCTCACACCCATCATAGGAAAACTGGAGCACACAGGTTAAATGATTTGCCCTGATCATATGGCTAATAAGTAGCAGGAGCAAAATATGGACTCAGGCGGACTGGCTCCAGAACCCGTGCTCTGACCCTACAGACTGCACTGCCTCTCTGCTCACCACTGTCCCACCTTGTGTAGTGCCCTGCAGCTTATAAAGAGTGGGAACAGTCTGAGGATGGGAACAGTCCAGTAGTCTCAGACTCTCCTCAGCAAGTAGGGAGCAAGGCACTTCAACCACATAATCCACAATCTGTCTATCCATTTGACTCAGCTAATGACCCCTTCACCATCGTCCATGGAAATACGGGCAAGTGCATCAAGCCAGTGTATGGCTGGATAGTAGCAGAGGACTGTGATGAAACTGAGGACAAGTTATGGAAGTGGGTGTCCCAGCATCGGCTCTTTCATTTGCACTCCCAAAAGTGCCTTGGCCTAGATATTACCAAATCGGTGAATGAGGTAAGAATGTTCAGCTGTGACTCCAGTGTCATGCTGTGGTGGAAATGTGAGCACCACTCTCTGTACAGTGCTGCCCGGTACCAGCTGGCTCTGAAGAATGGGCATGGCGCAGCAATCTCAAATGCATCTGATATCTGGAAGA